CTATATTCACAACTCATTAGAAAGACAAATGAAGAAATTGCTAAAAATTTCTGAGTATAGCTTAATCAACTCTATCATTTCAATCTGGTTCCTTAGACTTTGCCATACGATCTAGAAATCTTTTTACCGAATCTATCTATTTAATCAAACCCGCTATTATAATTCTTTTAGTTTGATTTTATTCGTCAAGCTTCGTTTGCAATCCAGAAGGACTTGTATATAAATTCATCTTTAATCACTCCTGATAATACTTCTATCAAAATCTCTTTTTAGTCAATTCTGCTGGTTAATCTCCTTCCTTGCGCGTCATTTCGTGCCCTAGAAATACTTGTACTAATTTCATTCCCCAAATCAATTCTATTGATTTAATCTGGTTTTTACACTCCATCTCACGATCTAGAAATACTTGTACAGAATCCATCCTTCAATCAATTCTGTTGTTTTAATCTATTTCACGATCTGGAAATACATGTACTTGAATTTATCTACTTAATCAATACTGAAATTTAATCTTCTTTCTAGCGCTTTATCTCACGATCTAGAAATACTCGTATTCAGTTCATTTATTTAATCAATTCTGGTGCTTTAATCGCTTTCTTTGAACCAATATCCAGCGATCTAGAAATAAAATATATTAAATTCATCTATTTAATCAAACTCATTATTTTAATTCCTTTCCTTACACTTTATCTCACAATATGAATAATTCCAGTAATAGCAATGGCACAATCGACTATGTTGCAATCAACTCCTATGCTTATGCTGCAGCTGTACCAGCCAGTATTATCGGCTTGATAGCCAATACACTTGTGATGTTTATCTTGATGAGGTATAAGATATTCCATAAAACAACTTATTTTCTACTTCGTATTTCGATTGCATCCGATATTATCTCCAATACAACAACGGCCATATCATACTTGATTGTAACAGCAATCCATGTTACCTATCCTCTCGGTGTTATATTATGTCGTATTGCAGTTTTTGTTATACTTTCATCTTATGGTATTTCCATAATGACTTTATGTACTATTGCGATCGATCGTTACTTTGCTATCGTTAAGCCATTATCATCGTTCTATCGTCGAAATAAGTTCCTACTAATCGGTGGCCTATTAACTGTAGGTTGTTTATTAACATTTAGTATTACCATCCCAGCATTATTTTTTGTCGATGTTTATCACGATGATACTAAATTTTGCGATTTTAGAAATGTAACACCGCTAATATCTTTTTATTTTACTATGAGCACCTTTAATTTATACATTATTCCTGCCGTTACGTTAGCTACTAGCTATGGTAATATTATTGTTTATATGAGAAATTACGTTCGACCTGGTGAGGATACTAATTTTAATCGTGCTGTAGAAGATCAGAAAAGGAAAAAATTTATTAAAGCATTATCGCTAATCGCTAGCTCCTATTTATTAATCAGTTGGCCATTTTTTGCAACAAGCTTAGGTATGGCTATTACAGGAAGCTCAATACGAGAAATACGTCGAGTTGGGGTAGTCTATTATCTATTTGCATTTTTCTCCTTTTCTACTACAGCAGCTATTAGCATTATTAATCCCTTTTTATACTTGAAGTTCGATCACGCTATTCAATTAAAGGCTAAAAGTTTAATTTCTCAATTGTCTACGATTCGCACTGCAGTCGATTCAAGCAATGACAGTGTCCCCAATTCAACAAATAAAAGTGGGATAGCATGAAGAAATTAATAATCTATTCTTAATAACGATTCCTTATACTGTAATTCTATCATCCAATATCAGATAGTCTATGATTGCAGAATAATAAATTAATGTAATATTTTATAAAAATTTTTCTCATACTGGTATGTGATATAATTCGCCATCTTATCATTTTATTCTTCTTATTTTAATGAATTAAGAGTGGCTTTAATTACAAGCTTTTATTGGATAATAACTGATTATGGTAAGACCTAGCGAGCTGTCAATATCTTCATCGATTATGAGCTATTCCTATTTTTAATTCTACTTACTATTACTGGTATAGTAATTGATATAGTAAATTGTTAACCGACAAGATAGCTAGACTCATACCTAAAATTAAGATAGATTTCAGTGGAAAGATCATTTACTACTTAGTATTAGACTGTAGTTAATGAATTTTAATCACTATCATCTACCGTAGCATGGTTTCAATAACTATAATTCACCAGAATTAACCCGAGAAAAAATAAAAGAGTAGCCTTTTTACTGCACGGTGATCCGATATTTTCTGATTAATCAAGTTATTACTTCTATACTAATTCATGTAATTTAATATTAATCATAGAATTTATCAAAATTTAATCCTATGAAACTCTAAAGTATATTGTGCTATAACACATGTTATGTTTGCAGTATACTATAATGTACCGCACAGCGTGATTCACTTTGGGAGGATTTTAATATAGAAAATCAGAGAGGTGAAAGAAAAAGACTTCGTTTACCTCTATGTAGAAAATAAATGAGATCGTACGGTAGCTATAGACATAAAATATGCTATTCTATTTCTTTTGACAGATAAGCAACTTGTCATGTAAATTATGCTCATGCATAATTAATTTTATATCCATTCTGTATGATAAGAAATAAAATTAGCAGGATTTAAAGTCGAGATGTAGAAATTGTAAAATAGACGCCTATGCGATATTTATGAATTGATAAGTGTATATTATTGTTACGGTTCATAATTACCGTAAATAAAAAAAAAAGAAAGATATTCATATTTTTCTAAAGTAGAGTTGTGATATGTCAAGTCGTTAATGGATTTCCATTAACGAATGTGTAATAAAGATTATCACACTTGATTAGTGAGTTGTTAAGTAACAAGTCTAGTTGATTTGTTAATTGGAGTAAGAGTGGTAATTTCTCAGAATTCCTGGCAATATCTAATATATTATAACGGGTTCTTTCATCTTGGATACCACATATCCAGATTGATTTAAGGATGACATCTTTTGAATATTCCACAACGGGATTCTCGCTAAGTGCGCAAAACTTGTCTTCATATGACTGCATAGATTCACCCGGATCTTGCTTGCAATGTAAAAGTTCTAGAAACGTTGTGATAGTTGATACGGTTTGCGAAGCTTGTTCTTTAACTATCTTCCACAAATCCTTCATATTTCATGTCTACGATTTGCTGAGTCCCTGCTTGCCTGATTACTCGTCTTTTAACAGTATTCGAGAGTGCGGCGTATAGAAGGCTGACTTTTTGATTATCTTCTTTCGCATCTTTGAGAACGAACGTTGTCTTCATAGCCTGCTCCAGGACTTCAACAGGATCCACATCTGGATTCCATTCGTAAGTAGTATGATTTGCCATCCTGTTCACGACACCAATTATTAAGTTCGTGGTAAACGGTGTAGGTTTAATTGAGAATCGTTTATTAATAAATTTATGAAGGTATTTGTACATTTGCTAGATTACTTCACTTTAGTTTAGCTACATGATTATCCATATAAGATGTAAGATTAGCTTAAAATGATAATTACATAATTAGAACGTTAATCATTTTGAACTGTAATCCTACAGTACGACTTTTAATCATTCTATATATGATACTACTATACAGTATGCTGTATATGTAATTGCTCCATGTATAACAGTAAACACTCAATATTAATTTACAGATATTTATTCTATACTGACTATCATAAATACATATTATACAAAACCGAGTATATTGTAAATAGAATTATGCCGATAGAAACTGGCACAGGTATATAAGAGCGTGCCTTTTATCATAGAAGGAGGTCTGATATTACATTGCCTAGTAGTATATTCTATCGTTCGAATAAAGAGGATTTATGAAGTCATCTGGATATACTCATTGGCTGAATAAAGTCGTATACTGAACTGGTCGAGTTAGTGAAGCTTATTAGCAACGGTATATTACGGTAGAGCGGTTACGCTAGGAATCAGATTAGTTACTTGTGCCACAAGCGACGTTGTGACAATTATTACTCTTTAAACCATAGTCACATTGACTACGTAAGCTTTAAAAAGTCAAGTTCGGTTAGTGTGTTCCGATCATATTTACGGTATACTATGCTCAGAATACCCTTTAAAAATACGATTATTGTTTACAAAGAATAATTTCCTTTTATCATTTTCACCTATAGCAGATAAACTAATAAAATACAAAGCAACGTTTACTGTTTTATATCATGCTAAATGTTGAACTGTCGAGTAAAGTATTCGCTAGCCAGCTTAATGCATAGATAAATATACTATCGATACTGATAAGTCATGGTAGTCGAGATACTGGCCATCTAGAGTTAGCATTATTTTAAGTATAGTGTAGATAATTCTCGTCGACTTGAAAATGTCAGCCAGTAAATTTACACTACCAACGTCGAAGTAATTTGCTAATCAACTTACTTACTTACTATACTTACAGTACTGTGCAGTTTTCCAGAATTTACAGTACAAGTATTAAGAAATAAAGCCAAGATTTTTTCTTACTCTCCAATACAGTACTGCTTACTTTACTGTAGACTTTCGATTTATCAAAGAATCTACGATAAGGAAGATTTTCCATAAAATGATAAAAAAAGAAATAACACTTCACTGTACTATAACTATCTGTATGCAGTTAGTCATACATTATGTTGCCAAGATACAATAATCGATATCAATTTGTAGTTAATAACAAACGTTTTTACTGTTCGCCATGATTAGATGATATTTTGATAAGTAATTGTAAACTACAACTATCCGCTTAGTCCTTATGTTTCAAAATTTACAACTGCTAGTTGGTTACATTTTAAATATTCGATTCGTTTTTAAAGATCCAAGTTGGAATTATTCTTTACAGTATAGTACTCATTGCTAATCTATTAAAATAATGATGCAACCTAAAATTATCCTGATCATTGATTTTTTATCGTTCTTGCATTTGCGAGAGCCGAAAAACGATCAATTAAAATAAATCGAATGGCATAATATTAGGTTTCTATATATCAGTAGTGGTATTCATAGACTATGAAATCGATGCTTAACGACCTAGATTAGAAGTAATTATGATTCTTGAATACGGATCCGGTAATTTATCCATATTTACACATTCGATTCGATTGCATAGTTGTAAGTATCGGTAGTCTGTCAAAACCGCTACTATAATAAGCTATTATTATACTTATTAGGCTTTCATCTTTTCGTAATTTTTCATAAACAGGATAGCATTCCATTCACGATATCATTATATATCTTATAAACAGTCGATGCAGATGTGATATTTACAAAGCCAAAGGAAATTGGCTGTATTTAACTCACTTCCTGGTATGCATAGTTTCTTGAAGTAAAAATTATTCTATCTCGACGCTCCGTGACCTGAAGTAATTTATCTGTATTTACACGTTCAATTTGTTCAAAAAGTTACCAGTATGGTTAGCCTGTCAAAACTGCTATACTATAATAAGCAAATATTATACTTATCGGTCTTTCATCCTTCGTAAATATTTATAAACAGTATAGCATTCTATTCGCGATATCATTATACATATTACCATATATTACGAAGAATCGATGCAGATGTGATGTCTACAAAGTCAAGCTTAAGTTAACTATATTTTAACTCATTTACCGGCAAGTACGTACAGTTTCTTAGAGCAGAAATTATTCAACCTTGCTAATTGGAGATCTATTCGTCCTATTATCAGTTACTATAACGTAGAGTAAAGTAAACACATTCTGATAATTCATGAAATCATAAAGAAACTGTAATATCTATGTATGCAGTAGCGATAGCCGATTTAAATGTGGCAATGAATTATGATTATTTATTACTAGCATTCAATCGATCTATTTATCTCACCATCAGTTGTTACAATCAACAGCAAAGTAAAAAAGTTCTGACAATTCATGAATTAATTGATTGATTGATCAAAATTACTATTTCAAAATTATTTAAATTATTCTCATTTAATCCTTCTGTAAACGAAGAAAATGATATTGAATTAAGAGTTTTAGATACTTCTAATTTATTTCTAGTTGATATGAAGGAAATACCAAACCCTTGACGAACCATCATCCTTAGGGTCAGATATTAATTAAGTTATAGAATATAAAATGGATGACTTTGAGGCTGCTTTTAATAATACTTTAGATAATAACTAACTTATTATCTAGGCATCAGTGGAATTATTGATTGTTATATAAATTCTCCTAATCAATTATTTTCATTTGACAATTCCTTCACTACGGTAATCAATTGTAAAAAAATCAAACAATGAACTTTAACCTTTGATATTAATTAGTTACTAGCCATACCGATTAGAAATCGATAAATAACATTATTCTCTGCATCATATCAATATCAGCTGCTGTTCTACCAATTAGAGTCACTGTCCATTCTCGATTGATACAATATCATAAGTTTATTATTTTATTCTTCTGCGAAGCCATGCTAAATTTAACTTTTACCTAAAGTATAATGAAGGCACTTGAAAAGGTAGAAAGATAATGAGCTCTATTATTAATCAACAGTTATATTAGTCTCTAGAAGAGATGATTGGGTACTACGCTATGCTACATTTTATAGCATTTTTTTATATTATAAAGAAAGAAAATGAAATAATTAAGATATCATTACGCCATCTTTAAAATATCGATAACGTAAATTTAAGTTTAATCTAAATTTAACAACTCTTAAAAAAAGTCAAACAAAGAAATTGCCGAAGATTTCTGGTACAGCTTAATCAGTTCTATCATTTCAATCTAGTTCCTTAGACTTTGCCATACGGTCTAGAAATAATTTGTAACGAATTCATCTACTTAATCAAGCCTGCCGATATAATTTTGTTTTGATTTTATTTGTTGAACTTCGTTTTGCCATCTAGAAATACTTGTATCTGAATTCACCTTTAATCAGTCTTGTTAATATTTGTACTAATTCTTCGTTTAATCAATTCTGTTGATTTCATCGCCTTCCTTACACTTCATCTCACGATCTAGAAATACTTTTACTGAATTCATCTCCTTAATCAATTCTGTTAATTTAATCTCACTTTTGCACTTCGTCTCACGATCTAGAAATACATGTAATAAATTCATCTCTCTAATCAGTTCTGTTGTTTAATTTCCTTGCTTTGTGTTTTAGTTACGATCTAGAAATCCTTGCACTGAATTCATCTGCTAAATCAATCCAGATAATTTAATTTTTTTCTTGCGCTCTATCTTACGGTCTAGAAATTTATTTACTCAATCAACCCTGCCACTTTGTCGCTTTTCTTGAACCAGTATCTCACAATCTAGAACTTAATGCACTAAATTCATCTATTTAATCAATTCTGTTGTTTTAATTTCCTCGTGATGCAATACTGTCAAAGTACCTGTTTGTTGCTTATTTACTTAGTTGTTTGCAAGTAATTCTATTTGAAGCATTTACTTAAGCATAATACCGAGATAGCTGTAAAATTATACGATGGATTTATATTGTAATATAGTTGAGAGAGGAATAACTAAGTATAGCAAAAATAATTGTACTTATTAGTTTATTATTGAGCCTCATGCAATAAGACAGCATAAATAAACTGACAAAAGGATAACATTGATCATACAATTGATGGTCAAATTGACAAATATTCACATAGTATACTTTTAGCCTTAGCTACGTTATAAAACAGTTTAATGATAAAGACAAACATGTTTCATGAGCTGATATCAATTAGTGGAACGGAATTATCAGTTATATTAAACTAATACTAGACGATATAATGAGAACTTAATAACATTTCAATTGGAATTCAATCTAATCTTCGTTTTGAGACTAATAAATAAATGTGGAATAGCACAAAGACACCTAGGTTCAAAGTATTTATCAATAAAATTGATTATATTACATATTAAAATTACAATTTCCTATAAGATTATGTTTTATAATATCTACAAATAACAGGGCCAAACATTAAAGATTTCCGTAAAGTAATAAATTAAATGTAAAGATGACCATATACAGTACAATACAGTCTAGTAACCTATTATTAATAGATTAATCGCATGTTCAGTCGTTAAATCGTTATCCGCAGGTACCGGTAACGAATTAACTGAATAAATTTATTAGCAGACTCGGTGGAAAAGTATACAGTGTCTGTTCATTGCCGTAGGGTGTCTCCGCGAGTATCATATATTATTTGATAGTCTATTCATTTCCTATCTTCTTAATCGGAATTGGCTTCATGGAATGGATAAACTAGATGGCTGGTAAAAAAGGGAACACTTTTACGTTCAACCTGCTTAGAAATATTCATAAAGCATATTTATATCGGAGATCATTATCCATTATTATGATCAACTTGACTAATCTACGAGTACACTCTGTTGCATAATCTCACTGATATAAATTAACAGATCAATTACCTAATATTTCTTTAAAAAAATAATGACAATGACAACATAATAAATTACAGCTAAACATAGGATACAGGTGCGCTAGTCGTTTTCTTCACCGTTCAATAGAATGCACATGTCGTCTCATTTAGATAGTAATGACACTCAAGATCTCAAAATCAGCCTACAGCAATAGAATTACACCCTTAAGGCAATATTATCTTGAATAATTTTGAAGCTACGCATATTCAATACAATTGATTGCTAATCATATCATCAACGATAAATAAATTCATATTTTAATAAATCTCTTTCAACTTTTTTCGCCTAGGGGTTCTGTCTACTCTCTATCGAGCATGCCACTCAATATTGATATTTAATGCCAAAATTTAATGGAATAGAAATGACATACGAGAGTATAAAATTGCAGTAGTGAATAGATTTTAATTCATGTGTTTAATTTAGCACAAGATGTCTTTTACATCGCCCATCCTAAAAGCAAGATTAATGCAGATTAACAATAATCTATTTTATCCCTTCATTTCGCTAAAATTTTAATCATGGTAATTGTACAATTATCTCAGGCTCTATGCACATGTAGAATTAGCTCGAGTAGTTACCCACCATTTGAGAACTCGAATTGTAAATATAATAATTGCATTGCTACAGTATACCAAATGTTCCCTTAATTTTAGCTCCAAATTTCTAAAAAATAATCCAACTTCCATCCCATTCAACTGATTATATTTGCATGTTTATAATAATCAAGTAAAAACACTGCGGCTGTTTAACGTATATTTCTATAAACGCTATAGTCTATTATCTTTAGTAAAAGTTTATATTTACTCTACTGTAGCATAACTCCATGTATGTATAATCTATATTGAACAATTTTAACATTGAAAAACTTCTTATTACTTATTGGCGTTTATAAATAATTCTCTTCTGCTGCGTTTCCTACATTACAAAGGCTGTCTTCATGTATCTATCGAAGTGCGTTCATCTCGCTAATTAGTCTGATAGTTAAGGCGGTAAACTTACAAGCTTACCTATTCTAATTTACTATAGCTATTCCATTACTTCACATCGTTATACGAGTGTACACTGTAACCTTATACGATTTTTCTCCTCATTCTAGCTGCGATAAAGGCTACTATTTCTCTAAGCTATTCTCTTGTAATTCTTGTAAATATGATGGAATCTCATTCTTCCGAAATATCACAGGTTGATTATTAAAGAATATTTAAATCACTTACTATTTTTTGAATGTTGTAATATCTAATATTTCGATTTAATCCTCTAATAACTTTCATGTCTTCGTCAGATAAAGTGAAATCGAACACCTATTGCAATAGATATTTCTGTTTTAGATGGCAACTTACGCTACTTTCGAAATAGACAAAATTATAACGTTAAATGACCTAGGAATATAATGATTACGTTACTGTTTAGACCTAATAGTTTATCATCACAGCATAAATGAACAATGGTCAAATTACTATTCAAGAATAAACTCGCTAACCATCTAAAAAAATCTGCATATTCTCGACCTTAACCGGCCGTAGATATGAACTAATCTGACTGTTTTCAGTAATTCGCAATGGTGTTGTACTTTTAGGTATAACTACAATACTCCGCTGAATGTTAAAACGAAGACACACTTGAGCTGGAGGTTTGTTGTACTTCTTGCCAATCGATTGAACAACTGGATCATTTAATAAGATTGGATTATCGGAAACAGTTGCATCAGGCCGATTACGTGATCCAAGCGGACAATATGCAGTTACTGCAATATCACTACGCTGGCATTGTTGGATCCATCGATTACAAGTCATGTAAGGATGCGTTTCAAATTGATTAACTGCTGGTTTAATACTGCAATTTTCCATGATATTATCGACTTGCTTTGTATTGAAATTCGATAAACTAATGGCTTTAACTAGGCCATCATCGACTAATCGTTCCATCGCTTTCCAAGTTGTTTTATAATCTTCGTTACCAGTAATAGGAACTCCGTCATCATCGAGCGGCAAAATATTATCGTGACCTTGAAAAATAGTACTATGTGGTTAATGAATTAGAAATAAATCTAGATACTCAAGATGAAGATTTTTCAACGCCATCTGCATTCCTTCTTCGACACGATCAGGCTCCATCATGGTAATCTATAATTTGGATGTAACAAATAGGTCTTTACGCTGGATAATATGGTCAACGGTATCTGCAAATGCTTGCCCAATTTCTTTTTCATTTTGATAGACATAAGCACAATCGATATGTTTATAATTATTCTTTAAAGCAGTCTTAATCGATTGATTTACTTTTTCTCCCGGAATTTGCCATGTCCCTAAATCCAAGATGGGTATTTCTGCTCCTGTATTTAATGTAACATAATGACTCGCCATTTTTTGGGTAATTGCAATCGCCAATTGATCAAAAAACATCCAACTACTATTCTAGGGGTGCTCTACTGAATTTATAATTTTAAACTAATAGTAGAAGTAAACTAGGAACCTACATAAAGGTCTTTTTATATCTTTCTGTATTAAACCACTGAATACATTCTTTTCATCATCACTTTATTCATCACAAAAGTCTCCTTATATTTCGAGGGATATAAACTCGACAACTACTGAAGTGAGCTATTCATGAGTAAACTTTAGTCGATCACAATACTGTTATACTTCTGCTATCTTCTATCTTTCTGAGTAATAAATTAAATGTAAAGATGACCATATACAGTACAATACAGTCTAGTGACCTATTATTAATAGATTAATCGTATGTTCATTGCCGTAGGGTGTCTCCGCGAGTATCATATATTATTTGATAGTCTATTCATTTCCTATCTTCTTAATCGGAATTGGCTTCATGGAATGGATAAACTAGATGGCTGGTAAAAAAGGGAACACTTTTACGTTCAACCTGCTTAGAAATATTCATAAAACATATTTATATCGGAGATCATTATCCATTATTATGATCAACTTGACTAATCTACGAGTACACCCTGTAGCATAATCTCACTGATATAAATTAACAGATCAATTACCGAATATTTCTTTAAAAAAATAATGACAATGACGACATAATCAATTACAGCTAAACATAGGATACAGGTGCGCTAATCGTTTTCTTCACCGTTCAATAGAATGCACATGTCGTCTCATTTAGATAGTAGTGATACTCAAGATCACAAAATTAGCCTACAGCAATAGAATTACACCCTGTAATGTAACTAGTATTGTGATTATAGACTATTAGCCATGTTTAGTATAATGTACGGTAGATATTTATCCTAAGAGATATTTGGTAGCCATAACTATAGACTGTAGTGGTATTGACTCTATGCTAGAGTACAGATGACTATATACAGTAAGGTGTTGAGTTACTAATAAGGCTATAGGTAAAAATAAAGCTGTAAATCATATATTAGGATATGGTTAATTCATTGTACTTTGGCTGGTGTGAATAATGTCTACGTAAGTACTATCTATAGTCGTATCCATATTGGATTAATGATGTTCCGCGGTAGAATAGTCTTACTAAGAAT